CAGCTTTTCTGCCACATACAGGAAAATAACATGTTTGAAGTCTTTCATGCAGGATTCAGAGCTCATCATAGCACTGAAACGGCACTAGTCAAAGTCACAAATGACTTACTACTAGCTGCTGATAATGGACAAGTGTCAGTGTTGATCCTACTGGACCTTAGTGCTACTTTTGATACAATAGACCACAGCATTCTACTGCAGAGGCTAGAATGTGATATAGGTCTCAGAGGAACAGCCCTTGGCTGGTTTAAATCCTATTTATCTGATCGGTATCACTTTGTCAATGTGAATCAAAACTCGCCACCTTACTCTAGAGTGGAATTCGGTGTGCCCCAGGGATCGGTGCTCGGACCGATTCTTTTCACACTCTATATGCTGCCGCTAAGGATACATCATTAAAAAGCATAGAATGAATTTCCACTGCTATGCAGACAACACACAGCTTTATCTGTCGATGAAACCAAATCAGACGGATCAGTTGAAAAGGCTTAGTGCTGCATAAAGGACCTTAAAACGTGGATGACTCTTAACTTTCTACTGCTTAACCCGGAGAAAACAGAAGTGATCCTACTCGGTCCAAAGCGCCTGCGTGACCCCCTCTTCGACCAGATAATCACTCTCGATAATGTCAGTATTGTACCCAGCAACACTGCGAGGAATCGTGGAGCTCTCCTTTAAGGCTTATATAAACCAAGCAACTAAAACGGCATATTTCCACTTGCGGAATATCGCTAAAATCAGGAATATTCTTTCTAAAAGTGAAGCGGAAAAACGAATCCACGCCTTTGTCACCTCAAGGCTTGACTACTGTAACGCTCTGCTGGCAGCGTGCCCAAAAACCTATTTGAAGAGCTTTCAGCTTTCAAAACACAGCAGCAAGGATCTTAACTGCCACCAAAAGGAGGGAACACATAACTCCGGTGTTAAAATCACTCCATTGGCTTCCTGTGGAGTACAGAATAAAGTTTAAAATTCTTCTCTTGGCATACAAAGCCATAAATGGCTTGGCTCCCTTTTATCTTCAAGACATGTTAATGTCTTATCAACCAAGCCGAGCGCTGCGCTCGCAAAACGCCAGACGTTTGGTGGTCCCTAAGGTTTCAAAAAGCACTGTCGGTGGCAGAGCATTTAGCTCCAAGCTCTTCTGCTGTGGAATCAGCTCCCCACGCACGTTAAGGAAGCAGACATTGGGCCTCATGTATGAAAATTGCGCAGAAAAAGGTGTAGATTTTGGGTGCAGATCCCAGATACGTAAGATCTGACGTGGAATTTATGAACGTGTGAGATACGCACAGATCTGAGCGTACGCACCTGCGGCTGTTGATAAATGCCGTGCTCAAAACCAGCGTATTTATGAAAGTCACGGCTATGAATATTCAGAAACTGCCTGTTCCATGCCCTGTTTTTGCGACAGGTCAGCAGGAAGTCGGCTAAGAAGCCGCAAAAAGCACGCACTTTTGAGTTTATTCACGTTTAAAAAAAATATATATACGCTATATTATATATACACTTTTTTCCCTAGTGTCTAGACCCACTGCAGCACTCATCTCTCCTGAAATTTCCACGTAAATAAATAAATTATAAATGACCTGAATGAATGAATGAACTATACTGCTGGTGCGTGTCGCATCCTATCTCTGCTGCGGAGAACAGGGCAATGGCTGAGACAGTTTTGAGCAAGATCAGGTGCATTTTTGGGGCTTTATGCACAAAACTAAGGAAAACCCACATTGCTTTGCCAGAGGTGAATGAGGCAAAACATATGCGTAATTACGTGTACGGCGCAGGGTACAGCGCAAAACAAGTATACGCTATAAACGCTACGCTATTTATTCAGCTGCGTTTTGAACAAATTTGCAGAAATGTTTGATAAATTATAAAAATCTCTCTTGGATTGTAGAAGTGAATAAATAAAGAATGAATGAATGAATTCATATTGTGCAGCGGTGGCTTTCATCAATGAAGCGTCTGCAGCGTCTTGTGAATGCACTGAAGCGCTGTACGCATGCAAGAGCGTTTGCGGTCCAGATTTTACAGAGAAACTCTGGAGCCAAGACTTCTGAATGACAGCATTTGAGGAGTTATGTGGCGCGACCTCTCACGGCACCTGCTATGGATGCACTCCCAAGAGTGCGCAGCGGGTGGACAGGGCAGTGAGACATTTGGAGTGAGCAATACCATAGTCCAGCCATTCCCAAACTCAGTAACACCGAGGCCCCCTTAAAAATCTGACGGGTCTGCGTGGCCCCCCAAAATAATAACCAAGAAGACAACATTAAGAATAGGCTCTTCTGGTTATTTTATTTTGGGGAAATAGCCTCTGCTACAAACATTGTAATACAAAAATGATTACAGTGGATTATTCAAGTCAAATAATGAACACAAATATTTTAATATTACAAAAAAAACATTATAAATTTAACATTAAATAATTATATTATTTTTTTTTTTTATGACCTCCCGCGGCCCCCTGCAGTACCCTCGCGGCCCACCAGGGGGCCGCGGACCCCACTTTGGGAGACACTGCCATAGTCCATCGGTCCATGCGTTAATGGGGTGTGTGTCTGTGTGAGGCTTACACAAATCTAATGAAAACATACATTGCTTTACCAGATGTGAGGAATACAAATAGCCGTGCGTAATTACGCACTTCCACAGCAATAGCTGGGTCACACATCCCTGTTGCGCAAAGTGTATTTGTATAGAGCCTTTCACTGTCCAGGATCACAAAGCGCTTCACATTTAAAAAACATACAGATCAAAATAATACACACAGAAGTCAGATTTTAAATCATTGAAACAGAACAGGCTCCTCATCTTGATCTGTGATTTATTCGAAGTTTGCGTGTTTCCAGAGTGTTAGACTTTTTCTGATGCCCAAATTCAAATTCCGAAACATGATGCTCCATGAAAACGCAGCTTATAATGTTGCCAGAGTGGGAACATATTTATTGTTGTCCAAATCTTGAATTTCATGCGTGCTTTGGCGTGTTGTGTCGAAGGGTGAAATGAGCGTACACATTTACACCACCTGTTGACTTGGTGTAAATTCTGTGCGTACCGTACGCTGACGTCCAGATTGATAAATGCGGAAAAGTGTACATTTTTTGCGTACGCATCATTTACACCCTGATTTGGCTGTACGCAAGTTTCATACACTGTCTCTACATTTAAGGCCAGGCTTAAAACACTCTTCTTCACCTTAGCATTTGGCTAAGGTCCGCTGCATCTTCAACCCTACGCTCTAGGCTAGGCTAAAGTAGTTCTCTTAGTTTAGTATATGTTTAGGAAGGTAAGACTCAGGGAAGGCTAAATATCTCAGACTGTCAGTCAAGCTGCATAGGGAGTCAGTTTGCTGGGAGAAGTATGGTAACTTGAGCGCTATCCTCTCCTCCTTTCTACTTTATCTGTTTTGCATTATTAGGATTTTGACTGTAGTGTGTTCATTGCTATTTACCCGTTGTCCCATTGTCTGTTTCATGGTATGACGACGGGACCTCTGAGCCTGGCCTTCTCCATCTACACCTGCGGACTGCCCGTAAAACCTGTAAAAATAAATTATCCCCCCGAGGTTTCTCACTTTTTCCCACTGGGTTTTTTACAGAGTTTTTCCTTGCCAATGCAGTCAGTGTCCAACTAGAAGGATGTGGTGATGATCCAGGACACTTTAACATTCTACAACATGTCTGGACATTTATCAACGTGTGTTCTATATTCTTTTTGTGTTTTAACTGTTGATTCTCTGATCTGTGTTGGTGATTCAATGGTTTTGTTAAGTCCTCTGAGAGCTATACAAGAATAAATTGTATTGTATTGAATGTATTTTATACATTATTATAAACATTATACATGTTATATATATACATATATATATACTTATATACTAGTAACCTTAGGTTCACACGGGTTCACATGGGTTCACATGAGTTTACATGGGTTCACATGGGTTTACATGGGTTCACATGGGTTCACATGAGTTTACATGGGTTCACATGGGTTCACATGAGTTTACATGGGTTCACATGGGTTCACATGGTTTTACATGGGTTCACATGGGTTCACATGAGTTTACATGGGTTCACATGGGTTCACATGAGTTTACATGGGTTCACATGGGTTCACATGGTTTTACATGGGTTCACATGGGTTCACATGAGTTTACATGGGTTCACATGGGTTCACATGAGTTTGCATGGGTATCCATGGGTTAGCCTCTGCAGTAGCTTCAGCAGCAGGTGTTTGCAGATGGTCCGGATCTGGGTGAGCACGAGGCCGTAGATCAGCGGGTTGAGAAGCGGCTGACACAGCAGGAAGTAGAGCGACAGGAAGACGCGCAGCGACTGCGGCAGGTGGCTCATGTCGAAGCGCCCCGACAGGATCTCGTACAGTCCCACCATGATGAAGTTCAGCGCTGACACAATGTGCGGCGCGTGTTCACCGCCTTCTGCCGCGTGTGCGCAGAGCCACGGCTGCACACGCGCAGGATCCTGATGTAAGAGAAGAAGAAGGAGAGCAACGGCAGCGTGGCGATGACCGTGCTGCCCACCATCCCCATCATGTTGTTGACCTTGGTGTCACCGCATGCGTTGCGCACGATGGGGTAGTTGTCGCAATACACTTTATGGATGCTGCGCGCGCAGAGCGTTAGCGACGCGGTGAAGCCAATGATGATAAAGTTAGCCACTATGCCGTACATCCACGGGAACAGCAGCAGGGTGGCCATTTTGGCGCGGCTCATGTGCAGACAGTAGTGCAGCGGGTGGCAGATGGCTACGTAGCGGTCGTATGACATGGATGCTAAGGTGAGGATCTCCACACAGGCGTAGCAGTGCAGCATGAACACCTGCAAGTAGCAGAAGTGGGCGGACATGGTGTGGAGGCGGCGTGTGAGCTGCAGCAGCAGGAAGGGGAAGAGTGCCGTGCTGCCGAACAGCTCATTCAGCAGCAGCGAGCTCAGGAAGGAGAACATGGGAGCGTGCAGCTCACGCCACAGCGCCATCATGCACATGAGCGCGTACAGCAGCAGCAGCACGCAGAACAGCAACCAGCGCCAGCCGCCGTACGGCGAGTACGCCGTCAGCACGAAGGTCAGAGAGGAATTCGGAGGTTGGAAGTCAGGGGGTGGAGCTACAGTGAAGTGCAGGGGGCGGGGCCACAGTGAACTTCAGAGGTCGGAGGTCAGGGGGCGGAGCCACAGTGAACATCAGAGGTCAGGGGGAGGAGCCACAGTGAACTTCAGACCTTGGCGGTCAGGAGGCGGAGCTACAGTGGAGTTCAGAAGTCAGGAGGCGGAGCTACAGTGGAGTTCAGAGGTCAGGAGGCGGAGCTACAGTGGAGTTCAGAGGTCGGAGTGGGAGTGCTTTGAGTCTGGTCGAGTCTGGTTCAGTTCTCTGGTTACTGTCAGGTCAGTGTGCGTCTCCTGCAGGTTTTTAAATCTGGTCTAAAAACATAAACAACACTAATAACAGTTGAAACAGGTTTGTGCCTTGGCTCAGAACTCAGCGGGAGGTGTCAGTGAAGCTCAGTGCCGTACAGATGCAGCTGACGGAACCGTCTGCTCCGGTCTGGTCCAGTCTGGTCCGGTCTGCTCTGGTCTGCTCTGGTCCAGTCCAGTCTGGTCCAGTCCTGTCTGGTCTAGTCTGGTCTGGTCTGGTCCAGTCTGGGATCAGCTCAAATCTGGATTTGTCTTCAGTCAGATTCCTCAAACATCATGGTTCCTGTCTCCTCCTGCGCTACACCAATAAACTGTACGACAGAGCGACACCAGCGATGGACACAGGAGGATTTATCCTAGTGTTTCCAAACCTGTGGTCTGAGAACCTTCACATTGTTGGAATATTAACCTCCTGCACCAGTTAAAACTAAAATCAGTTTAGTATTGTTTCTGTTGCCAAATTAGCACTTGTTTGTGTAAATCTCAAAGAGCAGTTAGTTCAAGGTTAGTCTGTGTGAAATGGGAGGGAGACAAGAGTGGTTATCAGAGCAGGTGCAAACGTTGGCAGCTGGCCAGAAGGAGTCGTGGAGTCCATACAGTTGTGATGTCATTTGACCTTGGATGTATAGTATAAACATCCACATCCCCTGGACTGCCACCTTAACGTGGTGGGGGAGTTTGAGTACTCGGATGATCCTGGGAGCTATGCTGTCTGGGGCTTCATGCCCCTGGTAGGGCCTCCCATGGCAGACAGGTCTCAGGTGACGAGTCAGACGAAGCGCAGTCCAAAAACCACCATGGATCGCACTATAACGAGAGCAGTGACGTCGCCCGGCATGGCGCAGCCGGGGCCCCACCCTGGAGCCAGGCCTGGGGTCGGGGCTCGTATGCGAGCGCCTGGTGGCCGGGCCTTAGCCCACGGGGCCCGGCCGGGCTCAGCCCGAAGGGATGACGTGGGCAGTCCCTCCTGTGGGCCCACCACCTGCAGAGGGGTCCGTGGTGGCGCGGTGCTGAGAGGACTGGGCGGCAGTCGAAGGCGGAGACCTCGGCGACCCAGTCCGCACACACAACATCTGGCTCTTGGGACGTGGAACGTCACCTCACTGGGGGGGAAGGAGCCCGAGCTCGTGGGGGAGGTTGAGCGATACCGACTAGAGATAGTCGGCCTCACCTCCACACACAGCTTGGGCTCTGGAACCCAACTCCTTGAGAGGGGTTGGACGCTCCACTTTTCTGGAGTTTCCCGCGGGGAGAGGCGGCGAGCTGGGGTGGCCATTCTCATTGCCCCCCATCTCAGCCGCCATGTGTTGGAGTTCTCCCCGGTGAATGAGAGGGTCGCGTCCCTCCGCCTCCGGGTGGGGGACAAGTCTCTCATTGTTGTGACGGCCTACGGGCCTAACAGCAGTGCAGAGTACCCGGCCTTCTTGGAGTCCTTGGGAGGGGTACTGGACGGTGCACCGCCCGGGGACTCCGTCATTCTCCTGGGGGACTTCAACGCCCATGTGGGAGGCGCCAGTGACACTTGGAGAGGGGTGATCGGAAAGAACGGCCCCCCTGATTTGAACCCGAGCGGTGTTCAGTTGTTGGACTTCTGTGCCAGTCACAGTTTGTCCATCACGAACACCATGTTCGAGCACAAGGGTGTCCACCAGTGCACGTGGCACCAGGACACCCTAGGCCGGAGGTCGATGATCGACTTTGTTGTCGTATCATCTGACCTTCGACCGCGTGTCTCGGACACTCGGGTAAAGAGAGGGGCGGAGCTGTCAACCGATCATCACCTGGTCGTGAGTTGGATCCGCTGGCAGGGGACGAAGCCGGTCAGACCTGGCAGACCCAAGCGTATAGTGAGGGTCTGCTGGGAACGTCTCGCTGAGCCCCCTGTCAGACGGACTTTCAACTCACACCTCCGGGAGAGTTTCTCCCAGGTCCCGGCGGAGGAGGGGGACATGGAGTCCGAGTGGACCATGTTCTCTGCCTCAATCGCCGATGCGGCGGCTCGTAGCTGTGGTCGCAAGGTCTCTGGTGCTGGTCCCGGCGGCAACCCCCGAACCCGGTGGTGGACACCGGCAGTAAGGGATGCTGTCAGGCTGAAGAAGGAGTCCTATCGAGCCATGATGGTTCGGGGGACTCCTGAGGCAGCTGTCCAGTACCGGCAGGCCAAGCGTGCCGCGGCCCGGGCTGTTGCAGAGGCAAAAACCCGGGACTGGGAGGAGTTCGGAGAGTCCATGGAGCATGACTATCGGTCGGCCTCGAAGAGATTCTGGCAAACCATCCGGCGCCTCAGGAGGGGGAAGCAGTTCTTTGCCAACACCATGTACGGTGCGGGTGGAGAGCTGCTGACCTCGACTGGGGATATTGTCGGGCGGTGGAAGGAATACTTTGAGGTTCTCCTCAATCCCCCCGTCACGTCCTCTGTTACAGAGGCAGAGGCTGAGGATGTTGGGGCGGATACATCTATCTCCCTGGCTGAGGTCACCAAGGTGGTTGGTAGCCTCCATGGTGGCAAGGCTCCGGGTGTGGATGAGATCCGCCCTGATTATCTAAAGTCTCTGGATGTTGTAGGACTGTCTTGGCTGACACGTCTCTGCAACATCGCGTGGCGATCGGGGGCAGTGCCAATGGAGTGGCAGACCGGGGTGGTGGTCCCTCTCTACAAGAAGGGGGACCGGAGGGTGTGTTCCAATTATCGTGGGATCACACTCCTCAGCCTCCCCGGTAAGGTCTACTCCAGGGTACTGGAGAGGAGGTTACGGCCGATGGTCGAATCTCGGATCCAGGAGGAGCAGTGTGGTTTTCGTCCCGGTCGCGGAACACTGGACCAGCTCTATACTCTCCATCGGATACTCGAGGGTTCATGGGAGTTCGCCCAACCTGTCCACATGTGTTTTGTGGATTTGGAGAAGGCGTTCGACTGTGTTCCCCGGGGTGTCCTTTGGGGGGTTCTCCGGGAGTACGGGGTCGGGGGTCCTCTGCTGAGGGCCATTCGATCCCTGTATGACCGGAGCCAGAGCTGTGTTCGCATTGCCGGCAGTAAGTCAGACCTGTTCCCGGTGAGTGTTGGCCTCCGACAGGGCTGCCCTTTGTCACCGGTTCTGTTCACTGTATTTATGGACAGAATATCTAGGCGCAGCCAGGGGTCGGAGGGGGTCCGGTTCGGAGACCACAGGATTTCATCTCTGCTGTTTGCGGACGATGTTGTCCTGTTGGCTCCAACGAACCAGGACCTGCAACATGCACTGGGGCGGTTTGCAGCCGAGTGTGAAGCGGCTGGGATGAGAATCAGCACCTCCAAATCTGAGGCCATGGTGCTCGACCGGAAAAAGGTGCCTTGCCCTCTGCAGGTGGGTGGAGAGGTCCTTCCTCAAGTGGAGGAGTTCAAGTATCTCGGGGTCTTGTTCACGAGTGAGGGAAGAATGGAGCGTGAGATTGACAGGCGGATCGGTGCAGCGTGCGCAGTGATGCGGTCGCTGTATCGGACCGTTGTGGTAAAGAGGGAGCTGAGCCGAAAGGCAAAGCTCTCGATTTACCGGTCAATCTTTGTTCCCTCCCTCACCTATGGTCATGAGCTTTGGGTAATGACCGAAAGAACGAGATCGCGGATACAAGCGGTCGAAATGAGCTTCCTCCGCAGAGTGGCTGGGCGCTCCCTTAGAGATAGGGTGAGGAGCTCAGTCACACGGGAGGAGCTCGGAGTAGAGCCACTGCTTCTCCACGTCGAGAGGAACCAGTTGAGGTGGCTCGGGCATCTGTTCCGGATGCCTCCTGGACGCCTCCCTGGGGAGGTGTTCCGGGCACGTCCCACCGGGAGGCGGCCCCGCGGAAGACCTAGGACACGCTGGAGGGACTATGTCTCTCAGCTGGCCTGGGAACGCCTTGGGGTCCCCCCGGACGAGCTGGAGGAAGTGTGTGTGGATAGGGAAGTCTGGGCGTCTCTGCTTAGACTGCTGCCCCCGCGACCCGACAACGGATAAAGCGGAAGAAAATGGATGGATGGATGGATGGAATTTTATGTCATAAACCTGTCCAGGCTTTTCTGATGAATTCTGAGTGGCTTGGCTGAACGGCAGGTTTCTTGTGCGATGGTGGTATAGGGGTTAGCATAGCTGCCTTCCAAGCAGTTGACCCGGGTTCGATTCCCGGCCATCGCATTTAACAAACACTGTGGTGTTCTTGCAGAGAAGTGCTTTTCATTGAAAAGCATTTAACGAATTTGTAACGTGTTTTGGTAAAGATAATGACACTGACGTGATTTGAACACGCAACCTTCTGATCTGCAGTCAGACGCACTACCGTTGCGCCACAAAGTCCCCAACCACAACTCAAAAGACAGGGTGATTACACTCCAAGTCAAAAGGATGGATTTCCCTAGTCCATGGCACAATTGAATATCCAGCAATGCCTTGGCTGACATTACCAGAGCACGACAGTGTGTTGTTGTGGCCGAGTGGTTAAGGCGATGGACTAGAAATCCATTGGGGTCTCCGCGCGCAGGTTCGAATCCTGCCAGCAACGCCACCTGCCATGCGGTGCCTTATCTTTCATGGACCAAAGCGCATAGCTGGCCAGTAGAATGAATTCGAATTTTGGGCCAGGGGGAGTGGTTGATACGTCGTTTGTTGGAGTGAGCTCTGATAAAGGCGAGGTCTCAGGCCCATGGGAATTAGAGCAAATTTCCCAGCCATGAACAAGACAACAGTGTCAGAAGTGGGATTCGAACCCACGCCTCCAGGGGAGACTGCGACCTGAACGCAGCGCCTTAGACCGCTCGGCCATCCTGACACGACCTGAAAGGCGGACGAGGTGGCCGAGTGGTTAAGGCGATACGTCGTTTGTTGGAGTGAGCTCTGATAAAGGCGAGGTCTCAGGCCCATGGGAATTAGAGCAAATTTCCCAGCCATGGACAAGACAACTGTGTCAGAAGTGGGATTCGAACCCACGCCTCCAGGGGAGACTGCGACCTGAACGCAGCGCCTTAGACCGCTCGGCCATCCTGACATGACCTGAAATTGTGCTCTGCAGGCGTGGGTTCGAATCCCATCCTCGTCGGACAAGACCCCTTTCTCAGACTTTTTAGTTCCTCCACCCAAATTTCTGAAACCTAAAAAGTCACCCTTCCATGCATTGGTGGTCCAATGGTAGAATTCCCACCTGCCGGTCAATGCAAGCCCTCTTGGATTTACGTGGATCGTCTGTCTCGAGGCCCGTGGAGAGAACCTCTCCTGTCTTGCAAAAGACAGAAAATCCTGGAAAACCCTTGTTTTACGGTTGGATGAATGGAACAAAAGTTCCCAGAGAAAGATGTTGAGCAAATTGTAATTTGGGGAAAAAACTTCTTTTTTTTGTTTTTTTTTTTTTTT